TTTTTTTTTTCAAATTGTATTCTCTAGCTATAGACACTACAACATCTAACAGCAATTTTGCACCGCACATGAACGTGCTTCCTCAGCAGCAAAGCATAACGAGTTTTTTTGTGCAATTGCACACTAAGTGACGACATTTGTTCGCGCATGCGAGCTTTATACATAGCATGGTGTTCCCTAAGAAGCCCCACCATCGTGCTAAAGGCGCTAGATCTGATCAGTGCTCTAGACTACTCGAGAGACGGCTACTCACCTCCTTGTCGTGCTCGAAATCAATTTGAAGTGCGGCAATCAGCGATGCCGGTGAGGAGAAATACTCCAAGTCCATGTCTCTCGACGGCTTCAGATGCACTTTGCAGTAGTCGAGCATGTGTGACGAGGTCACATCCTTCATTTTACCGTCTGAAAATCAGATTTGCACCTGCAGTGTTGGGGGCGTAAGAGAATTGCATTGCTTACCGCTTTCCGGTTGGCTGACGGTGATTTGAATGTCGGAAATCATTGGGGTTCCAACTTTGACGGAATGCTGGTCAATATTGAGGGTGGTGGATCCGGATAGGGATAGCACTGGGTCTGCTTCTTGTTCGACAAAGACGTAACCTTTAGCTGATGGTAGGGTGAGCTGAAATAAAAGGAAGTTTTTTTCTGATTGCACATTGGAGGTTGGTCGCAAAACAAGTGATGTTTTCCTGAATTTTTCTTGTAGAAACGAAAAGTATTTGTGTGTTTGGAGTATTTGGAGTTGGTAACAAAAGTGTTTGGAAAATGGAACACTGATTGCTTGATCATTCAAAAATAAACTAAAGCTCAAAGGATGGCTTTGAAACATATTAGGTTGATAAGTAATTCTTACAATGAAATTTTTGAAATTCTGATACTTTTTCCAGCTTCAACGAAATCTTCCGATTTGATAAATAATAGCAAATAGATTTGTAGTTTTGTTGCGTATTTATTTTCTAAAATGTTGAAGTACTACTTTTTATATGCATAACAAAGAGCATATTATTTGCATTGATTGGTTTGTTAGAGCATTTCAGAAAAAAATTTTTTTCCTGTTTTTTGGTGCAAGAATTGGGCATCAACCTAATATTTGAAAAAAGGATGAAAGTGAGATGAAAATGGAGCACAATATTCATCTTGACTTTCCTAAGGTCAACATTAAACGGTCACAAATGCTGGGTTTATTTTACTCACTGCGGGAAGAAGATCCATATAAACGTATGTTTTTGGACTTATAATTGAAGACCGCATTAATTCGAAAATTTAGTTTTGCTTACCTGTTTGCCTCCCTTGCATGCTACTGTAGTATCCAAGGTCCAGGATCTATGGCCAGGAATTGGAGTTTCTTGCGTGTTTACGTACGAAATCTA